GAAGCCAATTTCGATCAGAAAGTCTTCAAAAATGCGGATTTATCAAGTATTTTCGTACAGAAAATTTGTGACAGAAATTTATTTGCGTCATGTTCAAAAAATCATAACTTGGTCGATTTTCATCGTATCGAGTTGGTTCCGGCGCCAAAATTTCACATATTGAGTTGGCTAAGTTTTCACAAAGTATTGAGTTCGAACGGTATCCAAAAGGCCTTCGTTTTTTGCTCAGAGTATGCGTGACGCGCCGAAAATCCTGAATGCTGAATATTATTTCATCTGGGTCGAAACTTCGAAAATTCATAACTTGGTCAATTTTTATCGGATCGGGCCCATCTTTTTACACAAGGTCACTGACTCAGAGATCTACAACTTTTTTTCCAAAGTCGAGACCAGATTATGCTCCGATCAATACTAGTTTTTTATTGAAGAACGTGTCAGAGTCGACACTGGAGCCCAAAATAAGTTTGTCTGAGCTTAAACTTCAAAAATTCATAACTAATTCACCGTTTATCCGATTGAGCCTATTTTCGGACAGGAGTTAGCTCTCGATGTCGCCTACATTTTGTTTTCACATTTCAACTTCAAAAATTGCACTTAAGCCCCTGCGATTTAGCCTGGAACGTGACGAACTCAAGTGAATATTGGAGGCCCAATTGCACATTCAAATCCTATTTTTTTCTCTCTAATTTCTATTATATAATCTCATTCTTTTCACACAAACAACGGGACGAAAAAAAATTAACCTTTGCCACAATCCTGTCAGAATACCAAACTTTTTCAAGAATCCTAAAACCTTGAAATCCTTATTACAAACCCCAATCTCACTACAAACAAGCCATCTTTATTACAAACCCACATCTCACTACTTCTCCAGTAAGAGTAAGGCTGGTTTGATCTCCATGATCAAAAGGGCATAGAAGCATTCATCTCACTACTTCTCCAGTAAGGGTAAGACTGGTTTGATCTCTATAATCAAAAGGGCATAGAAGCATTCATCTCACTACTTCTACAGTAAGGGTAAGGCTGGTTTGATCTCCATGATCAAAAGGGTATAATCATTCATACATGTCATATCGGTTTTAACATTAATTTTTTTTCATATATTTGTTTTATTTGTATTTCATGATATATACTAATTTGTTTAATGTGGCTATGAGATTCAACAGGTTTGACTATTATGGTCCCATGCAGGTTTATTACAAAACACTGAGGTCGGATCATAACAACCACCAATGTATGGCATGACAGACATCCTAATGAAGGTTAAGGCAACCATCTGTTTAAAACCTTTTTTCATAAAGCCTAATATTTTTCACAAACTTTTGATTTTTTAAAATCAACTCGAATAATTAATTTTAGGTTTTTTTTAATTTAATTTTAGGTTTTAAATTAATTTTCGGTTCAACAACCACTAATGATATTTGCATTATTTTTATTTTCTAACCCTATTTTTCATTGATGTTTCTTCCCCTATCTATTTTTTGGCAAACTTAATATTTTTTATTAATCATTAGACATAAACTTTTTTTTAAAACCTTTTTTTTTAATTAAAATTAATTAGGTTTTAAGTTTTTTTAATTAACATTTTTTTCTTCAAAATTAACCTTTTTTTATTAATTAAAATTAATTAGATTTTAAGATTTTTTAATTAACCATTTTTTTAAAACTAACCTTTTTTTTTTAACTCAAACAAATTAGGATTAAGTTTTTGTTTTAGTTAGTAACTGAATTTTTGACTTTTTTTCATTTATTAATAAATTAAGTTAATTAACGTTTTTTTAATTAAAATTAGTTAGAATTAGGTTTTTTTAATTAACTTAAAATTATTTTCTACGAAAAAAATACCAAAAAATATTAACTTAGAATTTTAGGTTTTAATTTTTCCTTAATTTCTTTTTATTAATTCTTTTACATTTTAATTTCTAGAAAAATTGTATAGGTCGCATTATCAATGTAATATCGTAGATTTATCTTTTCTCGTATTTTTTTCTAATTATGTAATTGCTTCCGGGATGTAATAGTAATTAGGTTTTAAATTCCGCATATTTATTTTCAGTCCAAGATAATTATGTATCTGCAAAAGCCTTGTAATAGCTAGGACTTTAAACTTTCCGCATTTTAATTCCGCAAACTATAAATTGCTTAGATGTATGTTAATAGAATTGTATGGAAAGACAAACTGAAAATTAAAACAGTAGATCACCTTAATTGTGCAAAGATTAAATAACTGAAATCAAACACATGCACATATTCACTCCTAGGGTACTCCTCACTTGGTTGCCTCGGAAAACAATGGTCATGTCCCTCGAACGTAGAATACCCTTAGCAAAGACCCTCGGTTAAAATCATCATAAAGGTCATGGTCCCTCGATGTCCCTCGAAGTTGCCTACGGTATATGATCTTGTCCCTCGATGTTGCCTACGAATATATGATGATAGTCCCTTCGAAATGCTAAGGTATCCTTACATGTTGCCTTCAATGACCATTACGTCCCTTTTGATAGTCCCTCAAATTCCAACGACGGTGCTACCTATTTCTTAATACTAGGATAACGCTGCCTAAAGGAAACAAGAACAGAAACATTCTTTTTTCGAGTAGGTAGATGCTAGTAGGTACTTGCCCAAAATAATCTTTTCCACACTTACACTTTTTCAAACAAAGTTTTCAAAACAACTTCGTAACGCTCTTGAAGACAGAAGCAAGGGTTAAATCGAAGTAAAACAAAAACTTTTCAAAAACACACAAACACGGAAGCAATTTTTAAAATGATGAGCAATTACCTAAGAGCCCGTGGAAAACCACGGATAGAAAGGGTGCTAATACCTTCCCTTTCTATAATCTACCCCCGTACTCAGAAACATCTCGAAAAAGGTTTTTTCTGTTCTTTTTCCTTTTCCTTGTTGGATAAAATAAAAGTCGGTGGCGACTCTTGCTTACCGTGACATTTTGCGAACAAAAAGTGCAAACCAGTATTAACAGTCGGTTCTGCCACCGTATCACAGGTGGTATATGGACACAGGGTGTTCAAACCATCTTACTGGAAATAAGAAATGGTTGGTTGATTTTGATTCTGGGAGAGTACAAAGATCAGGTGTGCTGATGATAAATACCTCAATGCAGAAGGTATGAGAAATGTCATAGTCATCCTAAACAATGGGAAAGAAGCAGTGATCCAGGATGTGTGGTATGTACCTGTTGTACCCCAATTTTTGACCTAAGATCCCATTTTTATTTTTGCATTTTTTTAAAGATAAGTCAAGGTCACGAAATACAGTTGGTTTTAACGTCTCACCTTCGAGCTTTGACTATGCGAAGATTGTCAAGTGTTTTGAACATTTTTAGCCTATGTATCACTAATTTCTAATCGCATACAAAGGTGTATGTTCATGTTTTCCTTTGTGTCATGTGCAGAGATAGGTCTGGATCAAGAGCATCAGATGTCGCGCCTCAATTAAGGTTTTGATTTTCCCAAGCCAGAAGTACGGTTGATTGTGGATTCTCGAAGACCGATTCATCAAGGCACACCGTTGCACCCTTAATTTCGCCCCTAATTTTTTCCAGTCGCACATTCATACCATATTTTGTCATTTGGTCACAATCATTAGTAAATATCTTCATTCATCACATTTTGCATCATTAGTCGTATTTAAGTTGACCAGAAAAAGTCAGTTTAAATCAAAGTTTGCATCGTCTTTCAGTTGTAAAATACCCGACATTTCACTTCATGCATTTTTATTTCTTTACTCGTTCCTTGCATGGCTCCAAGTCGTTTATATGTCGATAATCAAAATATTTCGGTTTTATAGACAAATTGTTAAAAGCGATTCAACAATGTGCGAAAAATAGCGAGAAAAATATTTCAAGTTTTCACCTTTTACCGATCATTTTATGAATCTGCGCTTTGCGTAGATTATGACGGTATGCTCGCTTTATTTTTTGGTACAGTTCGAAGTCTCGTTTTTAACCTTAGACGTCTGTTTAGTCTGATATTTTTATTATTATTTTATTTTTGATTTTTGACTTCTTGAATATTTTTTCTTTAATTTTTGTGACATGTAGATTATTTTAATGTGTTCATTTTATTTTTTCGGATAAATTTTCGTCCGTTTTTTATCATTTTGGGTCTTTATTTTTTTTATTCATAAAATATTCAAAAAAATCATTTTAAATTGAGTTATTTTTTATAATTTCAGGTTTTATTTTATTTTTGTCATTCAGGGACTTTTTGCTCACAAAAAATATTAATTAGGCTTCGCTTAATTCTCATTGGTCGATAGCATAATTTGCGGATTGATAGAGATTGAATTCTCATTGGTCGAAAGCATGATTTGCGGATTGATAGAGATTGATTTATATTGAACGGTTCAGATTCATTTTGAAATCATAATTTTCTCTATTTAAAGGTCTCTTATCTTCTTTGCAAAGGAGGAGAAAACAAAAACAACACACCAAATACAACACACACAAACAGTAATTCGTCTTAACCACTACTTCCTCTCTCTTCACACAATTAATAAGCCATTTTTTCTTTGTTCAAGTAACAACTCCCTCCACCTTTGTTTCTTAGCAATCACATCATTTCCATTCACCTTTCCCTCTATTCAAACAAAAACCCAACACCCAGAACACAATCAACACCGGTCTGCCATCTTCCTCTCCAAACAACCTCCATCAATTCCGCAAGCTCCTCGTTACCATACAACTCACCCTTATCTCTCCACCTAGAAATCCACCCCTCTCTCCCACTCATCCTCACCAACCATACACAAACCTCTATTCAATCTTTCTCCCAACCATCCTCACTCAACCTCCATTTTGTATCTCTGCTGGACAACACAATAATAAACTATCTTTACTCTCTGTCAGCATCACCCACCACCAACTTACCGCCCCATCCGCGCTCCGGCGATCCCACCGAACCCACACTCCCAGCGCGCCATCACCCTACTCAACTACAACACGACACCGTTTCATCTCTACAATTACAACCACTTCCCAAATGGCGACGGCGTCGCCGACGACCACCACGACGTCGTTTCTCTCGCCGATACAGAGGTACGCCTCCGCCGCATTGTTCGGACTATCCCTTCATGGATCCCAAGTCAATCAGACTCGGATTCTACCCTTACCAGTTTCAGATGACTCCATCTCCAACACCAACCGAATCAGTAGCAGTAGCTCTAGCAGTGCTGATTCTGTTTCCGATGATCCTGATCTTTGGGTTCACCATCGTTCCGGTTTACTTCAACCAGTTTTCAAATTTCTAGATATTGATTCTTCCGCGTGGTATGGATTAGAGGAAACCGCTGGTTCTTCTTCTGCTACTCGTCATGTTGGACCATTTATGAGACTGCTTTCCCAAGAATTTGATGAGGGTTCTGCGGAATCTTCTCAAAGGCTAGACCAAGAGCTTGCATTGTCAAAAGCTGTTGATTCTATAGTACTTGAGTTGGAAAAGAGTTTGCAGACTTCCAATTCTAAAAGAGATAGGCTTAATGAGTACGAGCATCGGTGTCGCGAAAAGTTTCCGGCTACTGATGTTCATTCTAATTCTGAAAAGATTGATGTAAACTTTGAAACTCAGAATGAGACTGATGATGCCCCTTTAATCAACTTTGAAGACATGGACCAGGGGTCTAGTAATAGTAAAGTTGATGAGAAACCAATTGAAGAAGTGATGATGCTTAGTGATCAGAGGAAAGTGGCGGTTCTCTATGAACTTTCATCTGCTGTCTAGCTCTACTAACAGCTCCGACATTGCAACTCGATTTTCGCTCACAAGCTGTAACGCTTTCTGCAGTTGCGGTAAAACTCTATTCCCTTTTTTTAGTAATTTCTTATTTACTTTTGTTGAATAAAACATGAAATCGGTATTGTTGAAATTATGCATAGTTTGGTGATGACATCAATTGTTTTGTTGATTTTGCTTTGTTGAGTTTGTTTTGATTTGATGATGATTGGTTAGTAATTTGGTGTTCAAGAAGTTAATGATTTAGTCAGGTTATTATTGTTGAATTACATAAGGTGTGTGTTGAATTGGATTTTGCGGTTGTTGTCTAAGCATTTGTTCGAAATTATTGATGTCAATTTTGGTTGTTGAATCTAGCTTTGAATTTCAAGGATGACATTATCTTCTAACTTAAGTTGATTCAAGTATTGAAAATGATATTGAAATTGGATTAAATTGTTCAAATTGAATTTGAGACTTTTCTTTGATTTTGGAGCACCGACATATTGTCGAGTTGCTGCCCGGATTTATCCTTGTTGAAATTTGCACTCCAAACTTATTTTCATCACTTTTTGGACTTAATGTAATTTTGGCATTGATTAATTTGGAATTGTCGGTGTTGATGTTGTTTTATTGTTTAAGTTATTTTAAAATTTGTTTGATGATGTTTCAAATTGAATTCAATTCATAAAGTTTGTGGGTTTAATATTAGTGTTTGTACATAAGTTTTGAATCACTTGAAAATTAATCTTCATGAGCTTTTTATGCATAATTTGTTGTTGTCTAACTTTTGATAATGCTGATTTTTTGTGTGTGTTTACATTGAACAATATCATGAATTTTTGATTTTGATTTGTGTAAATATTCATTTGTTCATATGCATCATACAAGTTCATTTTTATTTTTATACTTTGTGATTACTAACATAAATTCAAATCTTGTTGCAATTTCATTCATTTTAATTTTTATACCGCTTATGCTACTAACGCGTTTGCTACTGTGAAGGTTTCCAAAAAAATCTATTTCAAGCACTCATTCTCATATAGCGCATCCAGAATTTCTATACCTCTCCCTTTTACCTTTTTATTATATTCTACTATTTTATTTAATATTTGGTACTGTAAATATATACTTGTACATAATATTTTGACTGTATATTTTACTTGTAAATAAATTCAGGTTTTGAAAATATTATTTCTATCGCATTGTGATTTTATTTCCAATTCCAACTAACTTCTGAAAAATTGTGCGGACGCACATAAGTTTTCCGTGCTGTTGGATTTTGTCGGTATATCTCTTGTGATGCAGGGATTCTTATCTGACACCGTGAGCTTTATCCACCGCCTTTGCGCTTTATCTGATGCTTGGAGTATTATCTCACATTAGGTTTTTTTTGACGATGCTATCGGCTTGTGATTTATTTTCACCTAAGGTTTGACATACTCTTAGCTTATTTATCCGTCTGTGGTTTTAACTCCAAGGGAAACGTTCTAACTTTGTTGACTTCATGTCATCAAACACATGTTATACGATTAAGCGAATAGCCTCATTCATTTTTGCTTGTTTACTATTTTTCCAAACTTAAGATAATTTTCTCAAAAGACTCCATTTTCAAACTCATACCTTTTAAGTCAAAACTTCGACATTAGGTTGTCGTATCTTCAAAAATCTCGCCCATACCCATCTTTTAGCCAAACGAACCATTTTAATCAAACAAACAATTTTAACCAAAAACAGATATTTCAAAAGGTTCCTGCGGAGTACCGCAGATGCATTGGGTGCTAATACCTTCCCATTGTATAACTAACCCCCGAACTCTCGATCTCTTTCAAAAAACGCATTGTATTTTTTATTACTTTTAAGTATTATTTTACATTGCATATTTTAGGGTTTTATTTCGCTCTTTTCCCTTTTCCCTTGGAAATAATAAAGCGCGGTGGCGACTCTTGCTTTTGCGAGTCAAGTTAATTAATAGCTTGATCTCCGATTTTCACCGCTACAGAATTGGCGACTCTGCTGGGGAAAGATTGACCTCTTGCTGGTCCATCCCTAAGTGGGTTAAGCCTAATTTGTTTTATCTGTTTTATCATTATTTGATTGTTTGATTATATGTATATATTATGATTATTTGGGTGTTGATAATATTTACAAAGGACAAGTCTTATACCCGGACTAAGTTACACTTAGGAATAGGACGGGCGGTATAGTCATGTTAACTTTGAGGGAGTAATCCCGAAGAAGGAGGCATGAGATCCCCCACTCAGTGGAAGGCCCTTTTGAACGTAATATTTGTTTACCGAGTAATCGGGAAGACATTATTATTTTCGACCTGGGAGCCAGAGAAGCTGGGAACCGTAGAACCCTAACCCATCTTGGCCTTTTAGGTGTAGCGCGGAGATTATAACGGAGTAATCCGGAAATAATTGTTACGCGATGCTACGCTCGGATGAGTTTCTCTTGAGAATATTGCTGATTATTGAGTAATCAAGACGTTGGTAATATCCGAAGGAGGAATGTAGACTCCGGGAACTCTTAGAACCTTGTTCTACAGGTGTGATTAAACCGTTAGTACATACCTTGGGGGTGTTCCTTACCTTGACTCCATGCTCGTGACGTTGAACCTTTCGACTTTATTTGTGACCTTGCTTGTGGTTGTTGCATAGCCATGCATTCATGCATCCATAAAACACTTTTCACTTGACTTTGAAGGAATTTGGAGGTCTTTCTTTGTAAACATCACAAGTTTCGTCAAGCTCAATGGATCTTGGGTGTTGATAGGGCGAAAACCCTAATCCACCAAAATGGATGATTGATCTTGATGATAACTTGATCAATGTTTGGAGCCAATTTAAAATTCGTCTTCTATCTTCATACTTTGATGTTTACAACTTAATATCTTGAGTTCCTTGAAAATCAAATAAAAACTCTCTTTTGCATATCATACATCATTCTACATTTTTTGTTTCACTTTCAAAGGTCTTTTTTTCCAAGTCTTATTTTTCCTTTGGTCTCACCAGTACAACACTCGTGCTAAGAGAACAATGGAGAATATCAAGCAAGAGGTTTCTGAACTCCGTAGAGAGATGACTATTTTGAAAGCTAGTATGGAGCACTTGACTGGTTTGGTTGAAATTCTGGTTGCCGCCCAAGTCAATCCTTCTAGGAGGGAGGAAGCGATGATAAAAGTATTCACTGAAACTTTAAAATCATTCTCTCATGAGAAGGTGATGGTTAATGCACCTAATGACTTTCCTAACAAGGAGAATGTGGGAGTGCGTCTAGAAGAAGATGTCGGAAAGGGATGTTCATATGAAGATGGTAGCTCAGCTAATGGTGTGAAGAAGTTTGATAATAACTTTTCCAAGAAGAGAACCAGAGGAAGAAATAATCATCATCAGAATCATCACGTTTCTCCTATTCATCAACAGAATCAGCAAGTTCCTAATCAGAGAAAACCCAGTTTTATCCAATTCCAATTACCTATACAGAGTTGTTCCCTATCCTGATGCAGAGGAATTTGGTTCAGACCCGACCTCCACCGAAGGTTCCTGAGGAGATACATTGGTACTACAGAGCTGATTTGGCTTGTACTTTTCATCAAGGTGCTCCTGGGCATGACTTGGAGGGTTGCTTTGCTTTGAAGATTTAGGTTCAGAAGTGGTACCTTGTCATTCAAGAACGTTGGTTTTGAAGTTCAAATCAAGCATGTGCCGAAGAGTAAACACGATTGATGGTTACTTTGAGTTTTGAAGGATGTTTTCGGTAATTCAAGTCCAGATGGAAAGCCTTCCCCGATCATTAACTTATTTCTGCTTTTTGTAAATTTTCTTGTTTATCAAAACATTGTTTGCATGTAGGAACTTGTTTGCATCTGAATGATTATCTTAATACAATGAATATGTTTGTCTTGAAGAAATTCATTCGTTTCACTCATATTTGTTTTCAAATTTTAAATTGCTTTTGCACTATGATACCAAATTGTTGCTCATTCTCTTGCCTAGGCAGAGATTGAAGGGAGGATGATGATCTAAAGAACACAAAATCTCTGGTTGCATGCTTTTGGATAAAATCTTGCTAATGATGTACAGGCATTGTTTCAAATCCCTAAACACCGGAGATATAAGGAAGATAATCCCTTGCTAACCCCTTTTGAGCCTTGAAGTAGAAGTTTCTTTTCTATACGAAAAAACCTTGAATTTTAACCTGGGGCAGGGTAGTTTTTAGTTAATCTGACTGAGTGTTCGAAATTCATAAGGAAGATGTTTTTTGAAGAGAAACTACGAGGGCTATCTTTCATGTATAATGAAGCTAGAGGATGTGGAACCACAATGTTATCCCTCATTCATCAAGAAACGAGGCAATCACAATCCTCTCAACAAGCAAAGACAAGCTAATGTCACACATTTTATTCAAAAAGTCAAAAAATCAAGAAAAAGAAAAAGCCTGCTAAGTCAAAAAACATGAAAACGTGTGACTTAGGCAAAATTAAGGCATTCCGCTGGACTATCAATTCAAAAGAATTAGTTCAGGCAAAAGTTAGGGAAAATGAAAATTGCAAAGAAAAGGACTGCAAAGAAAAGTCCTCAACAAAGAACAAATTGATGACTACAAACACGAAGACATGAGGTTGGTTTCTACTCCGAAAGCCTCGTCGTTTCCTTGACCGTCACAAAATCCTTTTGAGAGATGAACACTCATGTTTGAATTAACTGAACATAGGGTTGGAGAACATCATGAAGGGGGTGGGCACCGAATACTTTGAGCCTTAAATCCTTTTTTCTAAAACCATGAACCAGACCACATTACAACCTTCAAAAGTCCTAATTGAAGCAAGGTTATTTTGAAAGCATACTTCAATGAGATAGTGTTCCTGACTCCCATGAATGTTCTAAATAGTTATGTTGGTATCATATGTTTTTCCTATACAAAAATAAATGATGTTCTAACTCGCAAAATTTGTGCGATATCTTTTCAAAATCTTCAAGACTTACATAACTGTTGCATTAGAA